CAGGTTCCGGAAACCCGTTCCCACCGACAGTTGGTCTCAACCATTGGTGGCCGACAAGTGGCCCAACCCTTGCACTCAACTGCCAGTCTGGGCCCCATTCATGCAAAACAAGAATTTCAGCGAAGATTGTCTTTATCTAAACATATGGTCACCGAAAGGAAAGGTATCATCGAATCGGTTAAAGCCTGTGATGTTTTTCATACACGGAGGGGGTTTCATAATAGGGTCGTCCAATGAATATCATTATAACGGAGAGGTATTGGCCTCAAAAGGCGATGTGATTGTCGTTACATTCAATTATAGGTAAGAATTAATTGATTACTGAATTAAACTTATAATGATTTTAAAAATGAGATAAGAATTTTTAACACTGATTTTGAACAAACAATTACTTTACTAATCAGTTAATAAATTATACTGTATATAAAAATAAAAACTTGTCATAAGATAAATGCAACTTTTATCTTATTTAATAGCTACTTTAAAACATTTAGATTATATTAATGATCAATATTTAAAATAAATAACAGATTAAATGGTTTTGGATTCCTATACACGGGAACTGATGCCGGGCCCGGAAATGCGGGTCTCTGGGATCAGGTGTTGGCTCTGGAATGGGTGCACAAGAATATCCTGAATTTTGGTGGCGATCCCAAACAGATTACCGTATTTGGCGAGAGCGCCGGCAGCATAACTACCAGCGCTATAATCCTATCCCCAGTCACTCGCAATCTATTCAAAAACGCTATAATGATGTCGGGGTCGGCGTTGGGCGACACAGTAGGAGATGCCTCCCAAATGAGCCAATATTGGCTCAAACAGTCTAAACAAATGGGTTGTAGTGACGATAGAAATCCCGCAAAATTCACACAAAAAGTCATAAACTGTTTAAAGACTATAAGCGCCGACAGGTTAGTGAACTACACCTCGGGATCCCTGGACTTCGTCGCCGGAAATCGGTTGAAAATAGTGTCTCATATCGTAGTCGACGGGGAATTCCTACCGGAAAACCCATTAAAAATGCTAAAATCGAAAAACTTCAAGAAATCCCTAAACCTAATGATCGGTAACTGCGAGGACGAGGGGTCGTCCCTATTGGCGCTGGTGGTCGACCCCAAAAAGTTTTCCCCCAATAACCCGCCTCCTATAACGTATACGGAGGCTTACGATCCCACTCAGATCCTATTCTCATCCCTGGACGAGACACCGGCCATCGATGGCCAGGAAGTGTCTAAACTATACTTCACGGGTCTGTCCGATAAGACACCACAGGGTGTGCTCCGGCGTACGATTGGGAAGGCGTTCGGCGACTACACCATCACTTGTCCGACCATTTTGTTTGCGAAAAGTTTGTTTAAAAAGGATTATAAGACGAGTCGTGTGTTTCAGTACTACTTTAAC